AGAAAGCAGCAGATCTTGCCCTTGTCTGTACCCTGTGCTTCCTGACCCTGAACTTGCCACAGACCCTGGGAGCCCTTGCATGGCCAGGTAGTGCCAGACTGGGGAGCAGATCTCCAACCCAGTCACTTCCCATCAGTGCTGCAGCACCTGGGGGGACAGGGTGACTGACAGGGGCTTCCAAGCAGGCTCCTGGGAAGTTTTTGGGAGTATGTTTTTTTTTTTCCATGTTTTCCCTCCTGCAGTGTACCACACATCAGCACGGGCTTGCCTGGTGTCTAATGTTCTGTGACGTGACCCTGCTGACCTTCACTCCACATGCAATTGTAGGCAATTAGGCACTGATTACTTCTAGTTACATTAAAGAAGGGTGGAACCAATATCCTACTTTTCATCTGCCATCCAAATGACTTTCTTATCTCCTGGTCAGGCTTCTGGAAGATGAGTTGAATAAACTGGGATTTGGAAAGGCTGCACAGGCACTGTGAGAAGGGCAGGGAAGGGGCATGAAGGCTTCCTTGGGCACAATGTGTCAGGTGCTCACAATGACTTCTTTAAGTCCTCCTGTCTTAGAACCAATCCCTTCCCTTAGAAATTGTTGCTCTATTTGTTAAGTAGACATGGTGAATATAATTGGCTTTCTGTGTTGCAAGTTTAATTCTCATTTTGAGAGTACTTTACTGTGGTGGAAAAGGCTTTATTGTCTTGGTAAAGATTGTAATTCTTTCTTGTCTTGGCTTTGCAGTGAAGTTAAGGGAGAGGGAGAAACCTGAAAGTTTCAGGTAATGATGTTTTCTCAAATAGATCCTTTTAGCAACAAGATCAAAAGACTTTGTTAGGGTTCTACAGATTTCCTGTCAAATCCTCTTTCTCCTGCTGGTGATGTCAGCTGGGCTGATTTGTGGGTCAGGTCTGCCCTGGGGGGAAGCTGGTGTTTGCTGAAGATGCTCCAGCTCCTCCTGCTTGGGAATTATTCACATTTAATCATTGCCAAGATGCAGATCAAATCTGCTGGTTTGTGTGCAGGGCTTGTGCAATAACTGAGGGTTTTCCTGAAGTAATGGAACATCTCTCATCTCCTTTCTCCTTACAAAGCCGAGAGTTTTGCATCAGCAGCCACCAATCTAAGCCCGTGGGAGTCTTGACAAACTGAACTGATTATGCCAACCTCCTGCATTTCCAGGGAGGGCACAACTGGGAGACAACTGCCTGACTTTGGCACTGTGAAGAGCAAATTTGAGCCTCCCTTTTCTCAGCTGTCTTCAGAGGGGAGGTAGGTGCTCCCCATAGGCAACTTTCTACTGCTGCCTTGGGGGCTGGGGGTTGCTCAGCAGCAGGAAACCAGGGGTGGTTTAAGTGTGAAGAAACCCAAGGGGCCCCTCCCAGAGAAGTGGCTCTTCCCCCTCTATTGCAATCATTGTGATACAAAGGCAAAAACAAAGCTCTGCTGGCTTCTCTCAGTAGACGGCTCAAGTAGCTGGCAGGCAACAGCCCAGACTGGGGCTTAGGACTCTTTCCTCAGGACTTTAACTCATTGGTCAGATTGAGGGAGCAGATAAAAAGAGTTTTGAAATGCTGTGGATGTTGTGTCTCCCAAATGCATCCCTCTTCCTTCTGCTTCTGCCGTGCTTCCCTGCACAGGACGGTACGTACAACATCGATGCTCTTATATTTCAATATTTTCTTTCCTTTTTTTCAGCTTTTTCTAAATTATGTTTGTCTTAGACATGCAACTATTTAATTTTTCTTCTCTTGTTTCTGATGAAGCTTCTTTCAGGTGTTTCCCATTTGATCTCTCTGTTCCTCACTATTCATTGTACAAGAGCTCCCCGTTCAGTTTCTTTGGCATTGGAGAACTCCAGGGGTCTCATTATACATTTGTATGCCTTTGTTTCTTAAAATAGATTAGACTTGCACCTTCTGCAGCCCTCTTTCTCTGTTGAATCTGAGAATCTGTACTATCCAGTTGCCTGATTTTATTACATGCCACTTTACAAAGACAAGTGTGTTTCCTTCCATTTTCTTACTTACTTTTTCTTTTTCTTACTTTTAAATTCCCATTTTAGATCTGAAACCAATTATCAGGGTAATTTTAGTGAAGTTTGTATTTTGAGAACTAATAGGATTTTCCTGGGAATCCAGAGAGAGAATTAAATTTTCTGTGTGAGTGACAGCAGCCACTTTTTTGCCAAGGCCTTGGAAGCTTGGGAAGGTGCTGAGTTGCTCAGGTCAATGGGCATGAAAGGCACTACAGGAGCCAGGGCAGGCAAGAAATGACATGGCCAGCACAGGGAGAATGAGGTCCAGCCTTACAGAGTGGTTCTGTTGGTGGAGGAGTTGGCTTTGAAACCCACTTTGGTATGAACAGGCCAAGAGAAACTCTAATATTCCAATTTCAATTGCATTTCTTATTTTTAGGTAGAGGAAATGAACAGTCAACAGACGTTATCAGTGCTTGGGAAGGAGAGTCCGCCAGCATAACTTGCCCAATGAGTGGTTCACAAAATCAAGTGGGGATGCACTTGAGAGCTATCAGACAGAATCTCAATGTGATATATCTTCCCAAGGAGAAATCTCAAAAAAGTGATTTTGGCGTTGATAATCGCATCCAGTGGTCAAAGGAAGGGGACAATCTCAGGATAACCCTGCACAGGTTACAGCAATCTGATTCAGAAATCTACGTATGCTCTGAGATTGTTAAAATCAATGACTATCCCAAAGAACTGTGTGGGAAGAGAACCATGGTACTGGTCAAAGGTATTGCAATTCCACCTTTTATCTCACAAACTAGTAAATACAAATCTAAATTTTAAATCAAAGGTTGGAAGAAGACACAATGTGAGGGCGAGTCTAACAGAGCTTCTTCCTGTCTGCTCAGGTCAAGTACAGATTTGAAGGAATGTGTGGGTTTACTCCCTGAGACAAGGAAGAAAACACATGAGATAGTATGGTAGCAAAAAACCCCCAAACAATCCCAGAAGATTAATTTGTGACTCATTAATCACATCTATAGATTTTCACAGGAGTCATAGGTTGCTGCAGCACTTTGGAAACAGCTCTTTCCAAAACAACCTGTCAAACCTTTTAAAACAACTAGCAGAGCAAAGATGTTTTTGTATTTTTTTTCGGTTGCAGCTGTTTTTGCAAATCTCTTTTGTTTTTACTAATTCATCTTAAGTGACAAATTGGTAACAATTGCGAAGATGGTGTTAGGCAGAGTCTGCAAGCTGGGCGTGAGTGGGTAAAGGGATCTTTCTCTTGTTAGTGAGGAGATGCTGAATGGGCAGAAGTGCTTCTTTTAGCAGGAATTTCTGATTGCAGGAACGATTTTTCTATCTTTTTTTTTTTTTTCTTCATTAGGAGAGAGTTGAGTCCACACTATTCTTTGGCAGTTTATTCCTCCATGTACCTGTCCTTTCAATGAGACCTTCTAACCTAAAACATCTTTCCCAAAGCTTACAGGGTTTTCTTCCTTTTCTGTCCCCAGGGCATGTGAAATCTAACTGATTGCTGATCAGCAATAGTAATTTATATCCATGAAGGATTATCATCTCCTCCCTTAGGCTTCTCCTTTCAAACTTCTTGTCTGTTTTCTCAAATGAATCACATCTTGTTTATTGTGTAATTGTCTCTCCAAATTATTTTATTTAATTGCTTTATATCTCTGTCTGATTCTGATAATCTTCTCTGAAATGGTTACAACCTTCCCTTTACAAACATATTAAATTCTGTCCTCACTGCCTTGTCCACTTTAATGATCATGTTAAAAGGAACAGGTGCTGTCCTCAGAGGCACTCAGTGGAATATCTCCCTGGCTGGACAGTGAAGCATTAATAACCACTCCATTCTCATAGACCATTTTCAACATTAATGGGACATACACTGTGTGGTTTGATCCAGACCAATAGTCCCCAGATCTCTCTATGGCTTCATCTCACTTGAGAAAGCAGGCAATGATGTATGGCTCCAAGATGTGCTGATCAGGCTGTGTTCCCTTAGAGGAGGTCAGTATTTATAATTTTTAGGTAGATGCAGATCCTTTACAAAGAGCTAAACCTGTTGGTCAGTCCAACTTTCAGATCCTGAGGCAGGAAGATACGCCAGGGTGTACTATAATATATCCTTCTTCTCAAAGCCTATGTAAAGCATGTTAAAAGTTCATTTTATCTACATTTCTATGGTCTGTTCTTTCTGTCTGTTCCGTGCCCTTGCTCCCCAGTTAAAATGCACTGTGTTAACAGTGATGACCACTGATCTCTCTCTGTTTTTAGCTAAATCCAACAGCCCTCTGAAGCAGTCACCGCTCTATGCCAACCCTGGGCGAGGCCAGTCTGTCAGCATCACCTGTGTGTTGAAGAGCTCACCTGAAGCTGGGAAGTTCTACTTGCTCAGGGCTCACGTACAGCCTGGCAGAGTTCTGTCTGTGTCAAATCTGAACGTGTCACAGGTTTCTCCTACCTTTGGGAATCGCTGGGAGTATACAAGGGAAGGAAATAGGACCGTGATAACTCTGCACAACCTACAAGAAGAGGACAGTGATAACTACATCTGTGCTGAGGAGGTGAATGCTTCTTCCCCTCTGCTCTCAGGGAGTGGCACCATGGTGCTGGTTAAAGGTACAGCCCTTCTGCTTGTTTAATCATAAATATCTGTTGTTGTGCTCTGGACAGAAAGCTTTTGGAACCTTAGGACAGGCAAAGCTAGGAAAGTTTGGAGAGTTGGCTCCGGCTCCTTTGTGCCCTGTTGAGCTCAGACACAGAAAACAGACTTTGTGTTTCCACCTGCCTTGTACAACCAGAGGGGAATTCAGACCTTGCCATAGTCCTGCAGGTTAGAAAAAGAAACAAAGGTCAAAACAAGGTAACAAACACTTCACTTCATTTTAGGATATGAATAAGTACTTTCAGGACCAATTCTTTGAACTTAGCGTGACATAGACGACTTTTAGAAACCATTCCCTCTAGCAAGTCTTGTGTTTAAAAATAAATCACACTGGGGAGCACAAAGCAAACCCTGGGGCATTTGCTTCAAGCACTACAGACACCACAGACTGCAGCAGAGATGTTCTCACATAGCCTTGTTAGACGCTGAGCACTCTGTGAGCGTGGGCTGCAAAGAGCGGATTTGATTTTTCTGAGCTCCAAAGATGAGGTTTTTATTTTTCTGCAGGATGGTGCTGCACCCATTTGCTAAGCTGAAGTCAGAACCAGTAAGAGAGTGCTTGATTTTGGTCTTACTGGTGCAATTTAACCCTGTGCATTGAGCTTTGCTGAGGCCTTTGTAAAACAAGGTTTACAAAGGCCCTAAGAGTCACAAAGGATTTTCCTGCAGTCTGCAAAGGCAGCTGTGGACCTGTTCTGTGCCACCACCCACAAGTGGGGCAACAACTCAGTAAAGTGAGGTGGGGGAAATGACAGCAGCCTGACAAGGCAGTGGTGTGATTATTAATTAGTGTGTTATTCATATATGAATTAATTGAGGGTTTAGAGAGTTGAAACCCTTTCCACCAGCATTATTCTGCTCAGTACATTTCATACCCCAGCATCCTCCTGCTCCTGTCTGTACCTCTCAGCAGCCTGGCTCTTGGATAATTCAGAGCTCTCAGGTTGCAGCAAAAATGCAGGAAAACATTTTCTGCTCCCATTAGGAATGTGTGGTCCTATTGTTGCCTGGAAAGGCTGACCTGGAACAGAGACTAGACAGAGCAAAAGAAATAAAATAGGAATTTATTGAAAGGATTCACTTTGGGTAGTGCAAGAGCCTGGCCGGGGCTACACCCAAATCAAATCCCAGATGGATTCCAATCACGAGATTTACACTTTTACAAGTTTTGGTTCATCTACACATTGGGGTCAGTTATCCAAGCACAGCCCCAGGCTATGAAGTCTCAGCCCCCTGGTTTGCCCCTTTCCCTCGCTGTTGTTTCTGATTTTTGGGTACTGGGTGTCCTTGATTCTCTGGCTAGAAAGGAATTGTTTTGTCCAGCTACCCTGTGAAGAGAACTCACTAACACCTAATATGAAGTTTCAGAGTTACACACCAAGCAGCAGAGATTCTGAAAAATATAAAAGCTAAAACCCAAGGCATCACTATCAGTGGTGTGGAAACTGCCTTTGTAGGGCACTCCTTGCTGACCCAACTACAGCCACCCCCAGCCTCTGGAAGAGCATAGGAAATATTAATAATATTAATATTAAGAGCACAGTGAAAATATTAATGGCATGACAAACGTGGCTCTGTAGCAGTAAATATCTGAATTTTTGGTTAACCTGCAAAATTATCTTTTTCGGAATAAAAATTAAATTCTGCCTCTTCGTATTTATAATAATACTTCTGTAATTTTAAATGCAGGAGGGGAGCAGGTGTGTGAGAAGAGCTCCTGGGATTTGTATGCCCTTATTGTGGTGGTGGCTCTGCTGTTCTGTGCCCTGGTGTGCTGCACCTTGTACCGTGTGGATGTAAGTACACTGTCACCACAGCAGAACTGCACCAGGTGGAGCAAACTGGTATTATTTTTAATAATGCCTGAGTTAAGAAAACATCTGATAAACCTAAGGAATTATGGCTTCCTTTTGCTCTCCTATTTGCCCTTGTTTAATATCTTCCAGCTGTAAACTCTTGGCAGCTAACACAGTGTCTTATATTTCTGTAACCCTTTGTAAATGAGATATTGTTTGTCTTTTGATAACAAACCTCGAGTGAGCTGTGTGGTTGACACAGCCATGTGTTGTGTGTGTATCCCTGAACAAAGCTCCTCACTATTCTGCTCTGCTTGCTTTTGGAAAATTATTTTGTGAATTGGGACAGGAGCTGTACATAGCAAGCTTGTAAGAGATGTAAGAGAATTCTTGGAGTGGGACACGAGGGCAACAAACACTCGTAAAATAGCCTGATGTCCGAAAGTAGTGCTGGGAGAAAAAAATTAGCCCCTTTCGAGAAAAAAAAATAATTTTTTCCTTCACTAGGATTATTTCTATACATATACTGCAGAAAGTGCCCAGAAATTGTCTCTGATAGATCCTTCTGCTCAATAAAGTTACTGAAAATTAAGTGTATGATTCACAGGCTCCTGTCTCATCCCTCCGAATGTGGATTCATCCCTGCTAAAAACCAGAAGTGTAACATCATTCTGTCAAAGCCCAGTGGGACCTGGTGGCCTGTGTTACCACTAACAGTCTAAGAATGAGCCTTATTTATTATTATTGTCATTTATTATTTATGTCAAAGCTACAGTTACATCCAACTCTTGAAGGAACTGTTTGTGAAATTGCATCGGACTCATAAAAGAAAATTAAATAAATAAGCTGGTGATTTCCACTTGGTCCTCTAAGACCTCACTGGGTCGTGAGAGGAATTTTAATAGTATGTTTCCTCTTCCAGCAGATGATGTTGATGGATTCCTAAGATGGAAAATGACTCCTTGCTTGGGGTCTTTCCAGGCTCTGTTTTGAATGGCTGTTTTCTGTGTTTTGCAGGTGATGAAATGTTTCCAGAAGAAAAAGCCCAATGTTGTGTATGAAGACATGTCCTACAGCTCCAGACGGAACACACTGGTCAGAAACAGCAACTATTCCTGAGGCGAATAAACTCCTGCCAGCTGGGACTGTGTGTGCATCAACCAACCATTCTCTTCCAGGCAGCTCTGAGAGCTGCTTTAACCACCTGAATTGAAGTTACTATCACCTACCTTGTTCAGGGGAGCGAAAACCCTCATTTCCAAGGATGTTTCTACATTTCTTAATTTTTTTTAAATTTTTTCTTTTTTTAATGCACAGAAAACATAGTGAAATGCAGGTACCCTGGACATGTGTATGCAGGTCAGTGTGAAAAAGCAGCATTTTGGGGCTAGATGCAATATTTCTCGTTTCTTTGCTAAATTATCCTTTCTGGAAAGGTGGGATGGTCGGGGAGGTCTGGTTCTGAGCTTTGCTAAGTGCTCAGGAAGAGCACATGGGTCTGTTCAGTTTGCAATGGATCCACACAGGAAAGGATTCCAGTTCTCTCATGGAACTGGGCTCTGCCCAGGAGCTCAGGCAGCTGAAACTGCCCCAGAGTTACAGCAGGGAAATCGATTTTGAAGAAACTTCAGAAACGTGGCAGGGTGAAATGCTGGGTCCATGTGAGCTCACCTGCTCCAAGGTCACAACAGTCCCACAAAGGCACAATCGAGTCTAGATTTTAGTTTGGTCCCACAAAGGCACAATCGAGTCCAGATTTTAGTTTGGTCCCACAAAGGCACAATCGAGTCCAGATTTTAGTTTATTTTACTGCCTCTGTCAGCTCCTCATGTGAGTGATGGGGGTCTTGATGTGGCTGATGAGCAAAGAGACTGAACTTGTGTCCTGTGGCTTCCTGGGACAGCAGAGATGTTGGTGATGTGCTGGTGGTGTCTCAGCACGAGGTTTCTCCATCCCAGTGACTCCACACTGTACAACACAAGGTGAAAGAACTGGGGGCAAAGCCAATGCCTGCATTCCCACCTGGGCACGGGTGGGGCTGATCTTCTTATCAAAGGGATTTATCAAAACTCCTATCAGGCAAGAAGAGGCTAAATTTGGTTCAGTAACAGCTTCTGGAACAGGTTCCAGGGGGGAGCTGGGCCAAGGAAGGGCTTGGCCTCCTCCAGGGGTGTTTTGGTTTTGCAGTGTTGGGGCCACTGTGAAAAGTCAACAATCTTCCACACAGAAATGCTGAATTGCTTTGTCACAGGGCAGGATTGATGGGGTGGCCTCTGGTTGCTGAGGACAGGCTGAGACTGGAGTTTCTCTCTATTGATGTAATTGTTTATTTTTTTTGAGGGATTAGGGTCAGTTTGTCTTTGAGTGCATAGCTGGAGCTAAGCCAGGCACAGAGGATAATTCCTCTCCAGAGCTGAGCTCTGACAAGATCCCAGCTTGCCAAGACAATCCTGTCCCTCAGGAGACCCCATTTCCCTCCCATGAGATATTACTCATGAAATGCTGTGCACCAGACCTGAGGGAGAAATCCCCTCTCTCTGGGGTGGATGGTGCAGGTTCACCTTGAGAGCAAATAAGTGCTGTCTTCACATGGCCAGACCTCTGTAAATTGCATTTGTGTTGGGGTTTTGTACATTTCATTGATATTTTCATACATATATTAAAACATGTTTCATATATCTTGCAAATAAATGAATGTTTCTTTTAGTAGTTTGTTGTATTTTTTTGGTTTTTTTTTTTTAAATAGTGATTCAAGGCTTTTTGAAAATTCTGTATAAATTGCTCCTAAGAGCATCCTACTAGACAACATAGTAACTGTTTTCCATTTTAATTACAAAATCTGCAAGTGAGGTTTTTCTTTTTGAAACCAATCACTGAAGAAAATAGAAAAGAACCCTTCAGACCCTGTGTATTCCATGTCTCATTGCCCAAAATTTTCTTGAATTCTGCTAGACTTGGTGCTGGGATCAATTCTGACTTTGTCCCTGGAAAAGCCCAGGCGTGGGTGAAGAGCTGGGGAAGAAGCAACAAATTAGGTACCAATCTAGGAACTGAGGTGTCCATAGTCAATCACCCTTCATCACATTTTCATTTTTGGAATGCAGGTTTAGTCAAAAAGGGGCAAAACTCCTGAGAGCCAGCACAGAGAGATTCACAATGAGCAAGGTGGCATTTGAGATCAGCCTTCTGTAACAGCACTGCTGTGCAAAGATGAACACAATAGTGAAAGAAAAAAAAAAAAAAAGCTGTGAAAGGAAACAGGAGTGGAGGTGGTTTTTTGGCTTGGTGTAAACAAATTTAAAAAAAAAAAAATACCTTGCTGAGGAAAATTACACACACTGAGCCATTTCATGGGCTGTATGTGTGCAGAGGGGCAGAGAATCAGCACAAAAATTATCCCAAGCAGTGGTGAATGAACTGCTGGGGAATTTAGCTCCGGAGTGTCAGGGAATATTTGGAGATTTGGCTGCTCAAGAGGGTTGGAGTACTCTGAAGATGCAGAGTTGTCTCAGAATTTCCCTGGAAAGAAGAAAAACTGAAATTTTCACCCCCAGACTTGTAGGCAGAATTGCTGTGGGGAAATTCTGTTGCCTCTGCTTCTTTTTGTCTGTCGTCTCAGCCTCTGGAGAGGGAAATGATTTTCAGGGAGAGGGGGGAAGGGCAGATCTGAGGGATGGGACCTGCAGCAGTGAGAATGGATCAGGGTATTGGTGATGTCCCCAGCCCCATCCCTGGGATAAATGACAGGAATTGCAGCTGGGAGCAAAGCAGCCTCAGGTGGGAAGCAGGGCTGCAGCTCCAGGGTTTGTGGAACAGGGATGGAGCAAGCCAAGGCAGCTGAGCAGGGAAAGGAGCAGGGAAAACCCAACAGGAAAAGTGCAAAGTGTCTGAAATGACTCAGGGGCCAGCTCTGGATGGATGGAGTGGCCTGGGCTGAGTGCCTGGGAAGGGGAAGGCTCATCAAGAATACTTCTGGTTATTTGCAAAACTGAAGAAATCAGCAGGCACATGTGGATTAGCACTGATGGAGCCTTATAGACTCAGGAAAACTCAGCTGGAAAAAGCATTTTAGCGCCTTGACTCAGCTGTGTGTGACAAGGACGTGCCTGAACTCAGGTGCTAAGGAGGCTGCTAAGTTGAGTTGAGCCACAAAACGTTTCACAGGAGGGCAGGAGACAGGAGAGAAGCAGGTTCTGCTCTTGTGACACATTGCAGGACGCTGGAATGTGTCCAGTGGCTCCTGCCATGCTCTGTTCATGTGCTCCCTGCAGCTGTGAGTGCTACCTGATCCATGAAACCCCCCTGGGAGAGTGGTCTGCAGCCAGTTTCTCCCACCTGTCTCTTTCTGGTGGCTGCTTGTGACTCCTTTTCCATCCAACAACTCATGCAGGAAGCATCCTGTTATGGAATTCAGAGGATCTGACCAAAATATGTCCAGCACTGCTGGCTCTGCTGAAGACAAGCTACTGACTGCTGATTTCTCAAGGTCCCTGTGTTAGTAAAAAAAACCTATTTCCACTCATGGTATGCAAGCTTTTGTAAGCACCTGTTTTCCAAAGCACTTAGTTTCTTTTTTAATGCCTTGTAACACTCAACTTGCAATACATTAGTAGTCAGTTTACAGTCAATTTGAAAACATGCAGGTTTTTTGTTTTTGTTATTTTTTTCTGGTTCACAGATTTGGTTTTCTCACAGCTTTGAGGTGCTGAAAATTCTTAATTGTTGCCATTTCTTTAATCTGACATATTTGGTTGATATGCTCCTGCACTAGTTAATGAATTCTTTTACTGCTTGTCATATAAATTTAACAGAATTTATGTTGTTTTACGTGGTTTTTAACACTACTTCAAATCTTTCAGGAATGACTGGTTACCGGCTTTGTGCAACATGCAAGAAATCTTTCCCATTTGGTATCTCAACAGGTTTTAACTTACTTTTTAGAAAATCAATGCATTACTCATCATGCATTGCTCTCTCATATAGCCAGAGCACCCTGCCTTGTCTACAAGAATCTCACATAATTTCTTCATTTAAGAAATGGAAATAAAGCAGCCAGCCTAAATACTGATCAAAGGGAATAAACCATTTTGTCCTAACACTAAAATTTTACAGTGTTGTCACAATCTGTCTGGTACAAGTAGATTATCTGTCCAATTATGGATGGGAGGTGACTCCACTCTGTGTAATTAACTGCTGGTAGGGCTGGATGAGCTCTCTGGATGGTTCTAATTCCTGTGTAACTACTTCACAAGAGCCATTATTTTGCTTTTGGCTGGTATTTGACTGCACCAACTGACTGGCATGTGTCTGAAACTCTCCCTGGAGAACACGTCCATGACCCCAGAGACTTCCACCTGAGATATTAGAAATGCTCTGCTACACTCCTGTGCTGTCTGTCTGTAATGGGAATAATGTCTAAACACTGCACATGCCAAGTGGAAGAGATTTCTCATTCCTTCTATGAATTAGTATCAATAATTAGTAATTATTAACTCTCTGAGAAAGCCTTTAGGTTCGTCCCTCTCTGCAGTTTATGACACCCTGAGACATTTGGTCCATCTGCTCTTAGCAGAACACACAATTTGTAAAAGCTTAGTCTGGGGATCGTTGTACAAGTGATGCTTTACCAATGGTAGTAATCATTTCATCCTCAGATGGTAGAATTTATTATTCTGCTCCGGTAGGACATAAAAATAGAGACACTTGGCTTCACATTACTGCCTTATAACTCGGGGACAAATCTTCTCAGAAATCACTAAGGCCAGTTTACCACTCGTGGTTTCCACTTGTGTTGTACAGTCTCTGCTCAGGCTTGTGGGTGAGTGACATTTAAAGTCACAATGTAGAGGTGATATTTTGCACAAATGCTCATGATTTCTGAGAAGTGAGATTATTTAAGAAACACTGTAACATTGTGGATTTCTCTGTTATCTTCATTCTTATACTTTCTAATGCTCCCAGTGGAAGCTTCTAGGAAGTCTCCTCAAGTGATGGCACTTGGTGCCTAAAATGTAACAGACTTTGGACTCAAAATCTTTATTTTATTTTATTTTTAAAAAGCCTGAACAATTTAAGGTCTCAAAAAAGAAATCAAGCATGTGTGTGTACACACTGCAGGTAAAGAAATTACAGTTCCTAATGACTTTCAAGGCTAAAATTAAAACCAGTCCTTTCACAGTGAGCACACACACAGAGCCATATGCTCGTTCTTGCAAGGGTGTTTTGGAAATAAAGTTGTAGCATGGAAAAATATATAATTATATTTCTGTCCTAGCCAAAAGAGGAAATAAAGGAGATTTCCTACCAGGTTTAGAACTCACAGAGAAACTCAAATGAACAGCCCAAACTGAGGCTTTTCAACTTTGTCCAGGGTTTGGTGAACCAGGAGGGATCCATCACTGAGAGGGTGGCTGCTGTTCCCCTGGTTTTGTTAGTGAATCTGAGTGATGGTCATGGTGAGGAAATGTCTGTGGGCTTGGCTGAAGGCAGACAAGGGCATTTCTCCCAGTGCCTTTTACTCCCTAATGCTCAGACCTGGGGGCACCACTTGGAACAAAAAGAGAGGCAGAAATACCTGTAAAAAAATTAATTGCATTCCTTAATAGCATGCTTTGTGCAGCTCGCTTCTCTTGGGCCGCTCTCACATCTCAAGAATAAAAAAAATGTGGTTTTGTGGTGGGGATAGCAAAAGCTGGCTGCTGCAGGGGAGCCTGGGGTGTTACTGGTGTTCAGAAGTGCTGCAGGGGGCTGCTCTGTCGTGTGGCCTGTCCCCATCCTGAGAGGGACCCGTGAGCTGGTTCAGGCAGCAGCCTGTGGTTGCTGTGTGCTCGGCAGGGCTGGGGCTCCGCTTCTGCAGAGCATCACCAAAACCTGCCTGGCTGTCACCTGAGCTGTGCCACACCTGCCAGTGCCCGGGGTCCCTCACTGCCACTGCCACTGCCACTGTCACTGCCACTGTCACTGTCACTGTCACACCGTGCTCTGTGCCACACCTGTCAATGCCCCAGGGTCCCTCACTGTCGCTGTCACTGTAATTGTCACTGTCACTGTTGTGTCACTGTCACTGTCATTGTCACTGTCACTGTCACACCGTGCTCTGTGCCACACGTGCCAGTGCCCCAGGGTCCCTCACTGTCACTGCCACTGCCACTGTCATTGTCACTGTCACTGTCACTGTTGTGTCACTGTCACACCATACTCTGTGCCACACCTGTCAATGCCCCAGGGTCCCTCACTGTCACTGTCGCTGTCACTGTAATTGTCACTGTCACTGTCACTGCTACACCTTGTCTGTGCTACAGCAGCCTGTGGCCACTCTGTCACTCAGTGGAGACAGGTCCCTGCTGTCCCCAGGGCAGCTGGCAGTGGCAGAGGGGTTGTTGGCAGGTAGAAGTCAGGCCCGGTGGTCAGACACAGCAGGGAATTGGCTGAACACAGGGATGTGCCTCCAGGCTTCCCACAGGCACACTCAGCCCCCCTGGCTCCTGCAGCCAGGGCA